CCTCCGTTTCCTTCAGCTTCTCATCCGCCACCCGCTCGAACTCCTCCGCCGTCGACGGCGCTCTCTCACTTCCCTTTTCGCCGCCGTCCTCCTCCTCCTCCTTATCTTTACTTGCTTTGCCATTACAACAGTGCTGCAGGAACAGAGATGGGAAACCACCGGCGGCAGAGCTATAAACAATCGCTGGAAATGGATTATTTGCGTTGGCCTTCGTCTTGGAGATGATGGAAGCACATGCGAACATATGGCGGCTACCCATCTTCTCCTTCAACTCTAAATTTGTTCACAGTAATGAGTTTTGCAGAGAGGTGATAAAGATGCATGGTGGGTAATAGTAAGTGCGTACGTGTCTTTGTAACATTTCACAGCCTCCCACGTGGGCCTTCCTTTATTTGCCATTTCATCTCACAAGTTTTGATTTCTTTCAGATATTCAGAGCTTTATACTCCCGACCGCATTCATACTAGTATGTTGGGTTGATTAAATTAAAAGTTTGATCACACAAAAATGTAATACTTGCATCCTACGAACCAATCTTATGTTAAATGTTTGATTTTATCCCAAAAAAAAACATAAATAAATAAATAAAAGATTAAATGTTTAATAACTAAAAGAAAGAAATATAAAAATTGAGATTTTTTTTGAAAAATTAATGAGTCTGTTAATTTTTTTAAATAGTAAAGACTAAATTGAAAATTTGAGGTCAAACTAATCGGTATAATCTTCCACCAATAGGTTATGAATTTGATGTCCTTCAAGATGTATTAAACACTTTAATTAATGAGTCTATTTAAAATATATAAGAAACATAATAGAACTTGAAATGATAAGAGTTATTGCGATTATATTTAATGTCAATAGAAAGCAATTTTAAAAAGAAACTTTTAATATCAAAGAGTGGTTATTATTTCATATTTGTAAATATTTTGTAGATATATTTAATTTATTTTTGAAAATTATAATTATAATATATTCAAGTGATAACAAACAACTTGTGTACATATATCAAGTCTCGAACAGTACTCAAAAAATAAAAAATAAAAAGTCTCGAACCAAATTATTTAAAATAATAATACTAATAATAATATTTAATCTTTTTTTCTTTTTTCAAAAATATAATATACTGAAGTCATAACAAACAATTATTTTACCACTTTGATTTAGGCGGGATTCGAATACCATGAGTTTAAACACTTTTTATTAAAATACTTTTAATAATAAAGCTTTTAATTAAGACAAATATGCTATTTTTTCTTTTTTCCTAATAGAGACATTTTTAACATTTTCTATCCATCAGTTTTTCAACAACCATCTCTCTAAATAATTTCGTAAGAAAACAGTTTTCTATCAACATGTTTCTTTTAAAAATTTTTGTTTTAAGCTTTTATGTACGATCAAACATGTTAATAATAATTTGAATCCTCTAAAATAACAAAACAAGCTATACTAAACACACTACAATAACAAAGACTTCAACCTATCTTTTGGTTTAGGTACTTTTTTTTAAGTGATAATCTATCAGTCTTTTTTTTTTCTTTTTATAATCATCTTTCAAATATTTCTTAATTTTAAATTATACATATATTTTTTTTGTTGCTTTTTAATTTTCCTAATTTAAAATTATTGTCCAGAAGTCGTTCCACGTTATGTCATTTTTTTCTCTTCTATTATTTCATTCAGTGTCTTATTGTCTTCTAATTTCCAGTAGCTTTTGCAGTTTTGTGTCCAATAGTTATTTTTGTAAATTTGGAATTTGAAGGTATACTAAACACACTATAACTACTTTTTGTTTATAAGTATTCTTAAAGCAACCCGACTTCCAAAACTTTTTTTTTTCTTATTTATAAGCAAATCTTTCAGACACCATGGAGTATCAACAAAATTGTTTTTCAAACACCTGAAAAACAAGAAGCATATAAAACCCACAAAGATTCCCCAATTCCGAAAACTCTCACAATTTCAATTCCAAAGTTCTGATCAGACACTCAATAAGCAATCCCGTTGCTCCCCATCTTCCAAGCCGCCCATCGTATCGTACAACGGCTTATTCAGCGTCTCCGGCAAGTAAAATGCCAGCGCCCCGCCCACAATCCCGCACCCRGCGAACACCGCGAACGGCAGCCCGCCGCCGAGCACTACCACGAACGGCGCCAATATCGCCCCCATCTGCGACGCCTGCGTCGCGCTCCCCAGCGCCGCGTTCCTCACCACCGTCGGAAACAGCTCCGCCGTGTAGATATACAGCAGATTGTAAGTCCCCGCCATCCCAAATATCCCCAACACCCCACACCCCATCCTCACTATTTTCCAATTCCCGGCCCCCTTCATCAGACTTCCGGCGAGGCAGAACCCGCCRCTGAACCACATCGTCCCGATCGCCAGCGGCTTCCGGCCGCAGAGGTCCAGCAGCACCGCTGTGAACAGAAACGCCGGCATCTCCGCCACCGCGTTCACCGCCACGGTCAGGTAGATGTTGGTGTCGAGATTCACCACGTTCAGGCTCAACCCGTAGTACACGACGGCGCACATGAAATTGATCGCCACGGCCAGAATCAGCCGAATTCGCGTGATGGGTGAGCGGATTACGTCGATTAAAGAGCCGGATTGGGCGGTTTCCTCGATTTGGGTGCTCTGTTTTGAGATGTCGTCGTCGAGGGCGAGAATGGCGGCGTCGGGGAGGTGGCGGCCGTTGGATTTGGCGATGGCGGACATCAAATTGGTGGCATGGGTGACTCTGCCGCGGACGAGGAACCATCTGGGGGACTCGGAGATGAAGGGGAGGACGAGGAAGAGGAAGAGGAAGGAGGGAACAGAGGAGGCGATGTAGAGATGGCGCCATGATTTGAAGGCGTAGGCTATGGCGGAGAGGAGGGCGATGCCGGCGGAGAAGAAGTAGAAGGTGGACATTCCGGCGATGCCGCGCTTGGTGGGGCCGATGGGCTCGGTGGCGAGGACGAAGGCGCAGAGGCCGACGCCGCCGGTGCTGAATCCGGTGAGGAAGCGGAGGAGTGTGTAGATCCAGTAGTTGGGGGAAAATGCTGTGGAGATTCCGAATATGGCGTTCAGAATGCAGACCACTGTGAGGGACCCTTTTCTTCCTAGTTTTGAATCCGAGAGATGACCGAAAATTCCAGCACCTGCAGAATTAAATCAACGCCATTTTTTCTCTCAGTTTTCCTTTGATTTTCTCTCTGTCCAAACACCGTCTACATGGAAGAGATTAATTCAACTCCTCCACTGTCATTGTCAGAAGATTATGTTTGCTTATCTTCACTACTCTTATTTTGAGAAAAATATAGTTTGTTTTTAATTTATAAGGGTTTATTTGGTCTATCAAATTCTAAAATGAACACTTTTACGTTTTGTGAAATAATTCCAAAGAGTTTGGATGGTTAGTTGACTAACTTGATGTGACTATTAGTTGACTAACTTGACGTGTGATCGTYGATTGACAATATATTATTTAAATAATATTTTATAGTAATTGGATTATCTTCCTCCCCTGCTTCCTCTCTCCTTCCTATCTTCTTCCTCCTCCCTTACTTTGGGACTTTGCAATCAACCATGAACCACCTTTTCGCTGCCAACCACCTTTACGTTGCTGTTCACTGCCGCCAGCCTCCTCGTTGCTGCTCGTCGTCCCTCAATCTAGAATATTCATCCAGAATTGAACTGGAGGAGGGACAGCGGGTGAGCGATGAGGAKGAGGCTAATGGTAGACAACAGACGACGACAACAGCAAAGTTCAGTGGAGAAAGGGAGGAGAGGAAGAAGATAGTAAGGAGAAGAGGAAAGAAGATAATTCAATCACTATAAAAAAAAAAATTTAATTTAAATAATATAGGTTGGGTAGCACACAAAATAATTTAAGAGTCAAAGCTAGAACCATTTAAAATCCTTTCACAAACTGTTCATTTTAGACTAAATAGACACTCATCGTACCAAAAATATGTTTTGCCCAAATTTTAATCATAATCAGTATTGATTATCTAGGTAGGATTCTTAAACTTAGTGGTGTCACTTACTCCATGAGACCTATCTGGAATGGGGTGGAGATTTTCTTATTTTGTGCAAGGTCATATTTATATATAGCCAAATTAAAACTACAATTTCAGTGCAGCCTAATAATTTCGTGGGGAAGGAGTAGACATCTCTATTCCCTCCCTCACTGGTGACACCCATAATTGAACTAAAAAACATATCTATATAGTTTGATATCACTGTCATGTTGGACCAAATTATTATAAAGAAAAGAAAAAGAAAAAAGAAAAAAGAATCATAGTGACGTGGACCACAAATCCACGTGTTAAGACAGCTCCTAAAGCATGAAATCAGACGCATCTGCCAAGCTTCCATCTTTTTGCAGTTCAGTCCATGTACTTTTCAGAATATTTTACTCACCCCCCAAAATAAAAAAATTCACAAAAATCCAACACCTTTTTTACCCTCTGGCGCTTATTCTCTTTTCGATTTGGAATATACTTAACAATTCTCTTACACCATTTTGATATGTTATTAAGGCTTCAAATCCTAAAAGCGGGTTTCCGAACCTTTCTGTTTCTAATTTGACTATGAAATTTCATAGCTTGATAATCATTTATGTTTGAAACATTTTTAAAATTATATAGAAATTTTAAAAACAATAAAAACAAAAGTATTTTGTTTCTTGTTCCAACGTAAATAAAAATCTTATTTTAGCATTATAAGAATATATTTTTATTTATTAAGAAAGAGGAAATAGAAATAAAAAAAAAAGAGAATATTATCAAACGGGTCTAAATATTCTAAACACATACATTTTAAAACCAGAGATTTAATAAAATAAAATAAAATAAAAAACAAATTTCATTTTTCAATATTTAGGAAATATATTTAGTAGTATATTTGAAAATGGTTAGAATTGAACTACTAGTTACCAATTAAATATTTACTTCAACTTACCTAAAATATATATGTTATAAATTTTGTATAATGATTGTTTTACAATATTATATAATCTATAATATATTAAGTTTATATTTTAAAATAAAATAAGGGTTTATAACTTGAAATAATATATTTATAAAAAAAATTATGAAAAAGTAAAAATAAATAATGTTGTTTTAAAAAAAATAAACCTGGTGGAGATTCAATATCGAAAAACACAGAGAAAACCTAAAGTACA